GATTGTGTGGATCATAACAAATTATGGATAACATTGAGAAGAATGGGAATTCCAGAACACTTAATTGTACTCATGAGGAACCTGTACACAGACCAGGAGGCTGTCATTCAAACAGAACGAGGGGATACTGCATGGTTTAAAACCAGGAAGGGAGTACATCAGGGTTGTAGCCTTTTACCATGCTTACTCAATCTGTATGCTGAGCAAATAATCTGAGAAGCTGGACTACATGACGATGAATGTGGCATCAAGATTGGAGGAAGACTCATTAACAACCTGCAATATGCAGAGGACACAACTTTGCTTTCTGAAAGTGAGGATGACTGGAGGCATCTACTGATGAAGATTACATTCTGCAGTGTGGATTACACCTCGATATAAAGAAAACAGAAATCTTAAAACTGGACCAATAAGCAACAGCACGATAAATGGAGAAAAGATTGAGGTTGTCAAAGACTTCATTATCATTTGGTTCTACAATCTACACCAATGGAAGCAGCAGTCAGGACATCAGACAATGAATTGCATTGGGCAAATCTGCTGCAAAAGACCTCTTTCAAGTGCTGAGGAGCAAAGATGTCTCCTTGAGGACTAAGGTGCACCTGACACAGCCATTATATTTTCAATTGCCTCATGTGCATGTGAGAGCTGGACAATGAATAAGGAAGACCAAAGAAAGAAGAGTTGACGCTGAATGTAGTCTTCGCCATGCACTGTTAAAAAAAACTAACAAATCTGTCCTGGAGGAAGTGCAGCCAGAATACTCCTTGGAAGCGAGAATGGCCAGACTTCGTCTCATCTACTTTGGTCATGTTGTCAGAAGGGACCATTCTCTGGAGAAGTGTATCATGCTTGGTAAAGTGGAGGGTCAATGAAAAAGAGGAAGGCCTTCAACAAGATGGAATGACACAGTGGCTGCAATGATGGGCTTAGGTATAGCAGGGACTGTGAGGCTGGTACAGGACTGTGCAGTGTTTCATTCTGTTGTACACAGGGTTGCTATGAGTCAGAGACGACTTGACAGCACCTAACAACAACAACAACCTGTGAATTTGACCTTGTTTAGAAATAGGGTCATTGAAGATGCTACCAGTTAAAACATGAAGTCATGCTGGAGTAGAGAGGCTCCTAACCCAGCATGACTGCTTTCCATATAAGAGAAAAAGGGACACAGGGACACACACAGAGGGAAGATGGCCATATGAAGATGAAGGCAGAGATGGAGTTATGTTGCAGGTGCCAAGCCAAGGAACATCTGGGGCTACCAGAAGCTGAGAGAGACAAGAAAGGACGTGTTCCCCTAGAGCCTTTGGAGAGAGCATCGCCCTACTGATACCCTGAACTTAGACTTCTAGCCTCCCGAACTGTGAGACAATAAATTTCTGCCATTCCATGCTGCCCACTTTGTGGCCCTCTGTTACATCAGTCTTAGGAAACTAATACAAAGAGAAAGAGCAGTATTTTTAAATATCCGTGGAAGGGGAGGGGAGGGAACACAGCAAAAAAAAAAAAAAAAATGCATTGACTCATGTCACTTTAGTTTTGTGTATTTCTCTGTACATAAATTATATTTCAGTGAAAAAACAAACAAAAATATCCATAGAAGCTGAGAGAGGGAGCCCACAGGAAAACTGCTCTAGTATGAAAGGGAGAGGAAGAGATGTGATTTCATTGTGGAAGGTGTCATACAGGCTGCACAGCCCTGTTATTCTCTATCCTAGCATTTTATCACAATCTCTAATGAAATATTCTGCTTGTTTACATGTTTATCATCTTCATATAGCTGCCCCCCCCACCTTAATATATGCTTCAAGAGACCATGAGTGGTACATCCTTAGCACCTGGCCACAGTAGGCCCTCAAATACAGTGACTTGATGAATACATAAGTGAATGCCATGTGCCAGGCAGTGCCCAGACAAGCCCAGTGTAGCAGGGAGAAGATTCACATGCAGACAGTCTACAGCACCTGGGAAATCTGTTTGGCCAGGGACAAACATGGGAACCTCAGACACCCGTGGTTGAGAATTAGATAGGAACTTCTTTTTGGCTTCCTGTTGCCTCATAGAAAGTATTGCTGGACAGTAGCCAGAAACTCTTTGGAAAAACCAGTCTTTCTTTTTCTTAGAGCCTATGGTCACAGACTGTATTTTGCTAGGTGTCCTGGAGGAAAGTGTATTTCGGGGTTAGAAGTCAAAGTGGAGGGGGAATTAGGAGATGCCTTGTGAGTGGAAGAGGTGCAGAGGTTTGTGATTTTCTAGTGGAGCAGTCCTTTTCCCTGGAAGCACTCTCCACTCCCAGGCCCGTGGGGTGAGGTACCCAGGGAGGGTAGATTCTGGACCCAGAGCTCCCAGCCAGGCCACCAACAAGATGCTTGGACCAGGAACACCCCAGACTGATGGCTACAAATTCTGTAGACCACACACAGAGGCTTCTTTGTCGTCTCTCCACCCTACAGCCTCTCCTGAGCCACCTGCAGACTGCCCGAACCTGCCCTCAGCCACAGCTCTTTGGACTGGTGAGGATATCTGACTGTTTGGCCCTTTGGAGTCTCTTGGCCAGTAACTGGAATTGGGACATGCACAGTGTTAGTCATTCTCTCCTGGGTCCTTGAATTGCCCAGGCTGGGGTGCTGTGACTACAATGTTTACAAGTGGGACACAGAAAGCCACCGTCAAAGACAGGAGAGGGGAAAGGAGAGTCTCTGGGGCCCCAGAATGAGAGCCGGCCAGTAACAGACTTGTGTTCCGTGTGTCCATGAAGCTGTGCAAGCTTGTTTTCTGGGGACAGCTGAGAGCATGGGCTTTTTTTGTATGTGTGTGATTTGGGTGAAAATTTACAGAGCAAATTCACTTTCCATACAGCAGTTCATATACACTTTGTCTCATGACATTGACCACAATTCACCACAATGCAACAGCTCCCCTCCCACTTCCTCCCGACAGTCACTTCTTCCCTGTGTCCATCCCTCCATGCACCCCTGCCCCCTGAGCTGCTTCCCTGTGCATAAACAGCCCTTCTTTTCCCCATGATTGTTCTTTCCAAGGGGTGTCTTTACCTCAGGTAAATGGAGAACATGGACTTGAAATCAGGTAGACTTGACTTCGAATCTGATCTCTTCTACTCACTTACTTGGGCAATGGACCTCTCAAGTTCTGTCTTTCTACCTGTAAAAATGGGACTAATAACACCTACTTCAGAGAGAAAAATAGTGAGAATTAATTAAAATAAAGCTAATAGGGGCCCATTGAACAGCCTAAGCCATAATGTTGTTGTTATATGCCCTGGAGTCGGACCTGACTCATAATGACCCCTCCTTGGGTTTCCGAGGCAGTATCACTATGAAAGTATATTGCCCAACCTTCCTTCCCAGGAGTAGCTAGTGGGTTTGAACCACCAGCCTTCTAGTTAGCAGTCAAGCGCGTTAGGCACTATGCCACCAGAGATCCTTAGGCCATAATAGGTGCTCATTGGTTCTTCCTCTCCCCAACTCAAAAATGAATCATAAACATGTGACACAGATTTGAGACGTTCCTCTCAGCTTCTTCCGCCTCGTGCTCCTTTCTTAAATTCACCCACTCATCCATCTATTCAACAGACTTTCGTTGAGCTTCAGTGAACCAAACCCTCTCTGGGAGGTGAGTTTGTTTACAAGAGTGAAGAAGGCACTGTCTCTAACCTCCAACAGCCCACAGTGTGATAAATGCCACATGGACAGCAACAACAACCAGCCGCATAATTCATCTTGAGCAACTTAACTTCTCTAAGTACCTATTTCTTCATTTGCAAAACGGGAATCCCAGTGCCTTTTATAGAGAGAAAGTAGATAATAAGTGCTAGTTACTTCATCTAAGCCCCAGTTTCTTCAATGGGAAGCAGGTATAATCGTGCCTGTTTTAAATATGTAGTTGGGAGAGGGACAGAGTGCATATCCAGTGCTCTCAGCACCGTGCCAGGAACAGCGTGAGCACCGTCGCCTTTTAAACAGCTACCCTGGGGCCAGTGCTTTTTGATGCGTGCAGGTAAGGATCGCTCTGTCCATCTCCACACACGGAGAAATCAAGCCATCTGTTGTCAGGTTCTGCAAATTTGTCAGTCAGATAAAAATTTCGCGACTCCCAGGCAGCAACGAGCAACGTTGCCATTTGGCCCCGTCAAAGACCACAAGTCCCGGCATGCCGCGCTCTAGCCTCTGGCGATCCCGCCCCTTCCGGGTCAGCCTGCACATGGGCGCCGCTCTAAGCACCTCCTTCTGTCGTTTCTTCGGCTGCGGCCTCGCGATGGAGACCGAGTGCTGGTCGTTTGGCGGCGAGTTTGAGGATTCGATGTTTGAGGAGGGGCGCGAGCGGAGGGCTGGGCCGCCGGTGTCCTACAGGGCCAAGCGCTGCGAGCCGCAGGTGAGAGGGCGGGGCCTCCCCGCCTGGCCCCTGGCGCGGGGCGGGCCTTCTGCGGTCCTAGCCTGACGGCGCTTCACACGGCCCGCACCCTCACCCTTGCCCGCGTCAGCCTCCGGGTGTGGCCCGTGCCTCCCAGGACGTCTCTGCCATCCCTTCTCTTTGAAGAGGGGGCGTTCCCGGAGCCACATCCCTGGTCGGCCTGCTTCCGAGGGCGCGCGAGGATCCCCGCGCTGCCAGCGACTGCACTCCGCCTGCGCTCAGCCTGCACTCGCGGATCCCCCATGACCCTTTTGCCTTCCCTGACTGTGCGGCCCGGAAACCCGCCCGCCGCCCCCTTTTCAAGCCCTAATGCTGTCTACACCCCGAACGGTAACGCCCCCACAATCGGGCCTTAGATCTCCTGCCTTACTCAGTTCACTTATTTTCCCCTGCCCAGGATATCCAGCCCATGGTCGAAGTCGTTCGATCACACTTACTTCCCAAGAAACATCTTAAAGCTGCCTCCAGGAAGTCTTTTTTGATTCCTGCTTCCAATCAGGTTTTTCTGTCTTTAACAACCTCTCCCCCCCCACACACACCCCTTTTAGCTTCTGTTAAAAACTGGTCAGGAGGCCCTGAGTGGTGCTAACTAAAGCGCTCAACTATTAGACAAAGGGTGATAGTTCGAACCCACCAGAGGTACCTCAGAAAACAGGCCTGGCAACCTGCTTCCGAAGGTCCCAGCCATGAAAAAACAAAACAAACCCTAGGGAGCAGTTTTATTCTGAAACACATGGGGTCCCCATGTCCACCCAGAGCTCTGGTGGTGCAGTGCGTAAGGCATTTGACGGCTAACCAGAAGGTTGGAGGTTCAAACCCACCAGCCACTCCAGGAAAGGAGAATTGGGCAATGTACTTCCATAAAGATTCACCGCCTCAGAAACCCAAAGGGGGTGGATATGAGTCAGAATCGACTCAATGGCAGTGAGTTCGGTTTTTTGTTTGTATTAATCACTCACCACAGCCCACGTGCTAGAGGAGAACTGTGTAAAACAGCTCCCTAGGGTTTTCTTGGTGGTAATCTATGAAAGCAGATTGCCATGCTTTTCTTCCATGATGCCAATGGATGGGTTTGAACCTCCAACCTTTTGGTTAGTAGAGGAGCGCACCAGGCATGGACTTCTACCAAACCAAACCAAACTCATTGCGATTGAGTCGCATCCGACTCATAGCAACCCTTCCTTGGGTTTCAGAGGCGGTTGTTGTTATGTGCCATGGAGTCAGACCCCACTCATAGCAACCTCTCCTTGGGTTTCCGAGGCAGTATTGCTAAGGAAGTAGATTGCCCAGTCTTCCTTCTGAGGAGTGGCTGGGAGTTTGAACCACCAGCCTTCTGGTTAGCAGTCAAGTGCCTTAGGCACTATGCTACCAGAGCTCCTTCAGAGGCAGTATCACTACGGAAATAGATTGCCCCATTTTCCCTCTGAGAAGTGGCTGGTGGTTTGAACTGCCAGCCTTCTAGTTAGCAGTCAGATGCCTTAGGCACTGTGCCACCAGAGCTCCTAGTATTATAAAGCATTTAGATCCAGGGCACTAAGTGCGAACATGGGAGAAATTCTTTTCCTAACATTTTTTGTTCATTATAGCAACCCCGTGGGTGTTCTTGAATTCCTGTTTGATTACTATATTAAGTGTGTTCCTCTCTCCCACAAATAATAACTATTTATCCACAACTTGACTGTTGGAGGCTCTGTGTGCACCGTTTACATGTATGGGCCCATCTGGTCCTCTTGCACTCAGGATGCCAGGCACTCAATATTTACTGCATTTCCTTTTACTTACGTTGTCTCCTTACCCCACATAGTCTTTCAAAGCTATCTTTAACGCTTGGCTTAAAAACTAAGAGCAAGCAATGGGCTTGGGAAGCCATGAGGTGGAACATAAGCAAGCCCTGGACTTTGAGATGTTAGTTGCCGTTGAGTCAGCGCTGATTGGCAGCGTCCCCGTGCACAAGAGTACGGGAGCTGGTCCCGCGGCACCTTCATGATCGCTGCACTGATCGGACAGTGTTCAATTGGGAGGCAGAGAATTGTGTTGGCTGATTTTCAGAAGAAGATAGCCAGGCCTTTCATCTGCATCTTAGTCTGGAAGTCCTGCTGACCCCAGGCTGGTGTGTGATGTCATGTGACAAAGCTTCCAGCCTCACAGTGCGTGCAGGCTGCCGCAGTACAGACCGACAGGTGGGCCTGCGGGTTAGGCGAGAGCACCCTGGAATCACACCATTGACTTCACCACTTGCCTTTCTAGATGTCAGTTTCTTTTCTGTCGTTTAGGAAAAACAATACATGCTGGCTGAGAGTTACTGTGAGAGTGAAATGAGTTTGAGTTGGAAAAACATAGCTTCATTTTCTCCAATATGCTGTTTTCATGATCTGTAGTAGGTTTTTTCTTTTGTAGGAGAAGTTTGTGCTTTTTTTTTTTTCCATTTTATATCTTATTTTTATTTTTATTTATTTGTACACATTTTGAGTCATGACATTGACTGCTGTTCCCTGCAGTGTACCAGCTCTCTTCCCCCTTCCTCCCCATAGCAACCTCTTCCCTGTGTCCTTCCCACCCATGTCCTCCTGTCACACGAGCTAGCACCCTGTGCAAACACTGCCCTTCTGCTCTCCGTGACTGATCGCTCCAAGGAGTGTATCTGCCTGATGTAAATGTTTACTCCATATGAACGTCTAGTGGTTTTATGAAGAAACCGGGAGCAGTGATGACATTGAAGCTCTGACTGTCCAGAAATTCAAAGGGGACCTGGCCTACCGACGACAGGAGTATCAGGTATGGACATTTGTAAGACTGATGTTTGAGGTGGCCTCTTGCTTTATTGGTCACTGCGTATTTGAACGATGGTGCACTGAGTTACCAGTGTGTTGTTGGTTCAGGTGGATTTCATATTTTGTGATGTGTGTTTGTAATCTTACAGAATCCCAAGTTTCTGTTCTTTTCTGCTGGGCTTTGTAATCCGTGTGTTTCCTGTAACTTCCATATAAGGGTCTTCTGGGGGGGCGGGGGGAGGTCTGTTTCCCCCAGGTTCTGTATCCTTGTTATGCAGGAACCTCCAGCTCAGATCCCTCATAGTGTTACAGGAGCAAAGTGAAAAATTACCCCAAAATGTGTAAGAGAAGGGAAGATGCTGGTGATTGATACCAGATTGCTTTACGTGTATTGTCTCAATTAATCTCCACAAGAGCCCTGCATCATCATTTTGCTGATGAAAGAGTTAGACAGCAAGTTTAGAGGCCAAATCAAGATTCGAACCCTGGCTGTTTGGCCACAGCATGCTTCTTCTGCTAGACTGTGATGTTTCCTGTGGTAGTAGTGGCTGTACTCTTCAGCCGTTTGTTCTCTGCCTTTTAGAAAAACAGTACTGACTTTGGAATATGGTTTGCCCCTCTTCTAAACTCAAGTCTCCCTTGGACCCTTGTAGGGATCAGCTACAGCATTACCTTCCGCCTGAGAGAAAACCTTGTTCCTCTTCTGTTCTCTCCCTTGACTCTCTTCTTTTCTTCCCTTCCCCTTCTTTTTGCTCATAAACCACTGCCAGAAAGCTCTTGAGGAGTATTCCAGCGTCTCTGAGAAACTGCCGTTTACCAATTTTGCCATGAAAAGGGATGTCCAGGAAGGCCAGGCCCGGTGTCTCACCCGCCTGGGACGGCACGCGGAAGCTCTAGAGATTGCTGCCACCTTGGTGAGTGTTCCATTGCTCGTTTTCATTTGCTTTCCTGTAACAGGGATAATTCATTTGCTTGAAAAACAAAACAAAAATAAAAGACCTTCTAGCAACAAAATATGTAGGTTTGGATAAGAAGAAACTTGTCAGTAGTCTTAGGACTTTATTACGGTGAACAGTTTGGGGCTCTAGACAGAATCATTTTCTTACAACATTTTTTCCCGTTAACTCAAAATTCTTTATTGCCTGAGAATGTCATTACCGAGGTTGTACTCGGGTTAGGAATTGTTCAGGATGGAAGGATTATGAATGATCTGTTTTCTCTCTTAAAACCAAACTCAACTGCCACCCAGTCGATTCCAACTCATAGTGACTCTTTAGGACAGAGTAGAACTTCCCCAAAGGGTTTCCAAGGCTGTAATCTTTATGGAAGCAGACTGCCTCATCCTTCTCCCATGGAACAGCTGGTGGGTTTGAACCACCGGCCTTTTGGTTAGCAGCCAGATGTCTTAGCTTCTGTACCACCAGAGCACCTTATGTTTTCTCTCTTGGACTTATTTTCTAAAATTTCTGCAATAAACCTATATTACTTTATAAGCAGAAAAAAATTATGAGAAAAACATGACTACATACTTACACTAAGCAACACTAACTGGTGCTTTTTATTCGTAAATGGAATTTGCAGAATCTTTTAAGGGATAAAGGCAGTTCTTTGCAAGTCTAGATTCTGTTTGTTTTTGTTTGTAGATAAAGGACTTTACAGTTTACTTCTATTGTTGTTTATAGGTAACTTGTTTTCTTCCTCAGAGAGAATTAATGAGGCACCATGGCTCTGACCTTGAACCCTGTGGGTCTGGCCAGCCAGAAGCGGGCATGCCGTTGAGCTGTCATCGTCCGTCTTGTTAACTCTGAGAAATCCCCAGCCTTGGCTTGGCTTTGTGTGGTTCACTGCACAGGGCCTCAGCCTCTGGAATGAGAGCAAGCTTGTCTTAAGAATGTGCTGGCAGCTGTGCTTTGTTCTTTCTTTTCCTCTCTCTACTAATTGAGGGTTAACGCAGAAGCTGGTGGATAGGTTGCCTTGTTAAGGGACCGTTGGCAGTGAACTTGATGCAGTTTGACCATGTTCATCCCGCCTCCCTGGTCTGCAGTTAACAGCAGTGTTGGCCTCTCAGTGCCTGTCTCAGACGTCAGTCCCCCATCCTTTGCTCCTGGTCTGCTTTCCCACCAGCTTTCCCTTCGCATCCTGCTCTCTGCACATCATCGCTGTGCTTTGTCCTCCTTGCCCAGCCCGCTGGAGGCCGTGGCAGCTGGATTCATGGAGGGGTTAGAATCTCTGTGGTCCCTCCTAGCTCAGTAGGTCTGTGTCTGTGGCTCAGAGAAGGAGCCAGCTAGCAGGTCTCCAGGGCTTGGGATGCTGATCAATCAGAGGATCCTTAGCACCCATGTTGGGACACTGTTCCTTGGGCTTCCAAGCACCCTGATGGGGAGGCCAGTTGGGAACGTGGGCACATAGGCTGTGGGTCTCCCCCTTCTTTTGGTCTCCTGCATGTTGTCTCAGTGGACCCTGCCTGCTGCTTGGTTTTCTCCTTATCTGGTAACTCAGGCTTCTTCTTTTCTTCTTTTTTTTTTTAAGCATTTTTTCCCTACTCGAGGACCCTCTTCTTTCCTTATTAGCTCTGGCCTAGTTCTGTTTTTCGACTCAGTGGTTATTGTCTCCTCACAGTTTGTGGGGGGACAGTTCATTATACAACTTTGGACAAAACAGCCCTAAAGTGCCTGTTGGGATATGAACGTTTTATGCTTACTGCTTCTATTGAACAAAGGAGACAGGGTTTGCCTGTCCTTATGGAGCGTCACGATCTGTTGGCAAGGACAGACACTCAAGGACAGAAATGGTAAAACAAGTGAAATGTCTTCCCACCCAGTGTGGCAATGTAAAGTGTGCGCAGCCTTCCCCTTCCTGGCTCACTAACTTCCTGGGTTCTCTGCGCACGTTCCATGCTCACTGCAGTTGCCTGTGGGAGCTTGATCTGGATCCAGCAGGGCTTTCCTGAGGCTTCAGTCCACTGACAGGTGATTTGGCTCTGCCATCTGCTCTCTGCAGACTTTACCTTACAAAAGGAAGGCCTGTTTTCCCTTACACAGGTCATATTTGCCATGTGGCAAGTTAGGTAAGAGGTGGTGGCTCGGCTAAGGAGACTTGAGAAGCTGTTCTGGTCAGAAGGAAGCCAAGCAACCCCCTCTGGCCAGAAAGAGTTGGCCTTGATCAGGGAAGGCATTTGGATTCACTTATGATGCATCACGAAGCACTGAGAACTACAGGCCGCTCTATGTGAGACAAATAAGCCAAGTAAAATTTGAAACTAGAGTCTGTTCAGATCCTCAAAGAAATAAATGACCATTTGGACTTCTAGCAAGCTTGAAAATTAAAATGCAACCATTACACCTGAGATGATCAGACAGGGATCAGTGAATAGAGGTATACTCAAGACCAAGGATAGACTCAGCTAAGGCTAGTCTTGTACAGACACCAGTGATAGAAAATACCTGCAGTCCTTACAGAAACGATAGAAGACAGACACAGAGTAATCCCTCACAGACATCCCAACACTGTGGGAGAGAGATCCAATAGAGCTACTACCTCAGGACCATAGTACTGGGGTCCACCAGACTCAATTGGCACAACAAAATACATAAAAGCATTGCTCCACATCCTACATTGGTGAGTAGCGACTGGGGCTTAAAAGCTTTCAAGCAGCCATCGAGGATGCAGCTAATGGTCTCCTAGCGTCGGAAGTGAAGAGGAACACACAAAGAAAAACCAAAAAAAACAAGGGCATTTAGAAGCAATCAACCCTAGGACATGATGGCCCTCGAGACCAGAAGAACCGGATGGTGCCCGGCTACCAATGCCAGCCACTCAGGAAAGGATCAAATCTGGAGATCCAGGATAGAGTGGGAGGGAAAACGTGGAACAAAATCCAAAAACTCAATAATGACCAGAATCACTGGTCAGATGAAGTCTGGTGAGACTCCCAACACTATGGCCCTGAAATACATTCGGCGCCTGGAACAAAACTCACCCCCAGAGGCGGGCTCTCAGCCCAATGGTTAGCGAGATGTACGTGCAGACCACTCAACCCAGGATGCTGCACCCATGCACTCAATGGTAATACATCCCCTACAGCAATGAACCATGGGACACCAAAGGACCAACATTCAAACTGAGGAAATGCAGGACAAACAGGAGTGCATGATTATGAGGGGCACAGGGGGAGTGTTGCAGGGTAGGGAGGGAAGGAGACTGGGTTAGGGCTGGACATGGCGAATGGGGAATGAAACTAAATGTACACGTGACTTTGAATGTAAAACAAGCTCTTAAAATATTAAAAAAATGCAACCATTAACTCAGGATCTGAAAAAATTGTCCTGGTCTTTCTGATATCTAGCTGAAGACAATAAAGATTATAATAAAAAATGATAAACTGACATATCTTAATATTGCACGTGGTTCGGCCACAGTCACGTGGTCACTGTTATGACCTTAGGATGTTGGGGGACTCCGATGGTTTCCTAGCTGATAATGTACTTCTCTAGGCTTTGCGTTTCAAACATGTGGTCTGTTGGAATATGTTTGGTTCACTTTACTTGTGTTGATGGCTGTGAGTTTGGTTTTTTACTTGTGTACTGAAAGATAAATCTCATAACATACAACTTGGGATTTTTAGTCATTCTCGTTTTATATGGAGAGAACTTTTCAGGTTAAAGTTTCTAACCTTTTTTGTTCTTCTAGGAAAATAAAGCAACCAACACAGACCACCTGACCACGGTGCTGAACCTCCAGTTTGCCATCTGTTCTCGTTGGCAGAACTTGGAGAAGACAGTCCTCTGCCTGCAGAAGCTGATTTCTTTGCACCCGTTTAATCCTTGGCACTGGGGCCAGTTGGCAGAGGCGTACCTGAATCTGGGGCCAGCTCTCTCGGCACCATGTGCGTCATCTCAGAAACGGAACAGTTTCGCCTCAAGTGACAAAACTGTCAAGTCCTCCTCCCCTCACTCAGGAAAAGACTGCGTCTTTCCGGGTTTCCATGAAGCCCTGCCTGAGAGCTCTGAGTTGGCTGTAGAAGCCGGCAGCAGTGGCAGCCAGCGGAATGAGAGAGCTCTCCACAATTCTGAAAACTGTACGTCAGAGAGGAGAGAGGCAGTGTGGACAGAGACTCGGATGAAAGCATGTGCTTGTTTCATAAGAACCCGGTAAGCTCAGGAGGACTGACCAGCACAGAGTCAGGAGCCCAGAGCAGAGCCTTTATTTTTCTAATTTGGAGCTTCAGAGCGTTCTAGCTAACCACTCGGTATCTGTGTTTGCAGCTTTTGTCACTGCCCAGGCAGTCCTTTGAACAGGGTCTTTTTTGTATGTAAATTTAGAAACAAAACTTCATTCGTTCAAGAGTTCAGCCTGTGTCCTGGCCCAAGATGGGGTGTTCACATTGGAAAACATTATTTATAGAAAACTAAATTTCTAAAACTTTGAAGAGAGAAGAGACATTTTAAGCAAGCAATTTTTCCCTCAGATACTCCCTAGGAGTCCGCTAGGAAAGAAAATGTGCCCTCCTGTTTGCATCACTAATGATGAGAGTAAATGATGTGTAATTCATTCAACTGCATACGCTCTTGGTTTGCCCTGAGGGACTGAATGGTTTGGACCCATTCATTAAAGTGTAGGAGGTTGAGGGACAAGGAGGGGAAGACACTGGACTAATTTTATAGTTTGTGAGAGAAGAAACAGACTCACTTATATCACCCATAGCACCAAGAACAGAGTGAGGTGTTCGCGTTTGAAGTTCGGGCGAACTGGAGTTCTGGCTAACAGGCTGCAGAGAAGGCTTGTGTGTCCACTCAGCCACTGCTGATGGAGCCTTGACTGTGTCACTGTAGGGTCCCGGGTGGCAGATGGTTAAAGTGCCCAGCTGCTAACTGAAACATTGGCACCGTGAGAGGACGAGCTAGTGATCAGCTTCCAAAAATGGCCATTGAAAGCCCCACAGAGCACGGTGATACCTTAACACACACGGGGTCACTGTGAGGTGTGGTCAGCTCCACAGCAACTGTTTGTCACTCATTCAGAAGGACATTGACAGGTTCATGCTTGGTGCTGGAACCATAGACATGATTAAGAAACAGTCCCTTTCGTTGGACTACTCAGTGGATTGGGGAAAATAAACGTGTGGTCAGTGGCTGGCAGCACAGGCGTTCAATAGTATACTAGTAGTGTGATCAGAATTCTGTAGGGACCTGTTTGAGGGAATGGTTCAGTGGGGCAGGAGGGAGAAAGGAAGCCTGCACACAGGCAAGGATGCTTCTGTCAGCGGCCACTAAGCGCTAGAGGGTTTGGATACATTGTTTCATTCAGTCCTCACAACCCAAGTAGCTGTAACCACTTTAGACCCTGTGTTAGGTGCCCTCAAGTCAGCTCCTGCCCGTGGTGACCCTGTGGACAGCAGAACGAAACTGCCCAGTCCTGTGCCACCCTAACGGTCCTTGCTGTGTCTGAGCTTGTCGTTGCAGCCACTGTGTCGGTCCATCTCGTTGAGGGTCTTCCCCTCTTTCACTGCCTTCTACTAGACACTGATTTAGAACCATGCTCCAAGGGCACAGCTATAAAGTGCAGAACCAGGGTTTGGACCCAGGTTGCTGGCCCTAGAGCCTGTGTTCTGTCCAGGCTATCTTGCTCAGCCCATGTAATATCCCATACATGAGGAAGGGCACTCTAGGTAAGGAGAAAGCAGGTATGACCCAAAGGGGTGAGAGGCCTGGTGTAGCACAGTGTGGTCACGTAGTCTGGAGCAGTGAGGGTAGTGCTGGTGGCGGGAGACTCGAGGGGTGGGCTGTCAACCGTGAGTTCAGGATGGCACAGTAAGTGGACAGCAGGACTTGGCAGTCAGGTCTGATTCGGAAGTACTTAATACATTGTTTTTATGCAGTGAGTGAATCTGATCTCCACTTGCTACCTGTGTGACCTTGCACTAATTACTGTGACTGGTCGCTAGCGTCCTCATCTTGACAGATGGAGAAATGGGGAAGATACCTAAGATTGTGAGAATTAAAGTGTCTGAAGCTCAGTGGTACATGGTACAAAGCAGGCACTTGGTAAACGCTAGCTGTGTGAAGGTTTCCAATGTGGGAGTGACCTGACAGAGCTGTGCTTTACAGAGCATGGCCTGGTGGCTGAGTTGATGGACCAGAAGAAGGGGTTTGGAGCTCATGAGACCAGAGAAGAGGCTGTGGAATGACTGGTGAAGGAGAGGAGGGCCTGACCTCGCAGAGCGTGTGGGAGTAACAAGTGGAGGCCACTGCAGGACAGAAAGGAAGGGCCTGGTGACCGCTGATGTGAGAAGGGGCGTGGGTGGATGGCAGTGCCTCTCACTGGGAGGGCCCCCAGGGGAAGAACAGGCTTAGGACGGAAGGTCCTGATGGGATCCATCCAGCTGGGGTTTCCCACTAGGCAATGGGAGCCTGGAGTGCAGAAGGAGCTGGAGATTTAAGTGTCCGGAAGGAGGCTGATCAGTAGCCCAGCAGTCAGGTGTCAGCTGGTAGTGAGGAGTCTGTAGGATCACTCCTGAAAGGAGGATTTGAATGTGTAGAGGTCATTTGTGACCTCTGAACGGGCAGTATCAGCAGGGTGAGGGGACAAGGCAGATTGAAGAGGGTGGAATGAACTTATGAATAGAAGAAGCAGGTAGGTATGAGCTGCAGCTTCAAGTAATTCAAGGAGCAGAGGGAGAAAGCAGGGTTGTGAAAGGGTCACAGGTGTAACTGCTTCCAGAGGCCAGGTTGCTGACGTCAGCAGATCGAAGCAGCCACAGTGGTCTCCACGTGCATCAGGACGTGCTACTCCCTTAGGACAAAGCTCTGGCTCAAGCACACCTGAATGAAGCCCATGTCCTTCCCATGGCCTGGGAGGTGCATGAGTGCTGGCCTTGCCTGCCTTTCTCTTGTTCCAACCGTTTTTTTGTTTTTTTGATCCCTCATTGTGTCTAGCCACAGTGATCCTCTCTGTATTTTTCAAACACTTCAGTCAAGCTAGTTCTTGCATTGGGGCCTTCCCTGTCCCACAGCCTCTTGCCCAGACACTCCTGTGGTTGGCTCTGCGTCATTCGGGTCAAGCTCGAATACTGTCTCAGACTACCTTCCTTCACCACTTCATGTGGCCACTCGTCCACCCTGTCTTGAATTTGTGTTTCTTAGAGCCTCTCTCCTTCCATTCCACAGGCAGGAACCTGTGTGTTATGCTCACCAGTACCTCCCCGTTTTCTAGAGCTGTGACTGGCACATTCCTCAGTGCATGAAATGAGTGAACAGAGCTGTGGGCTTCTTGGTGTAACAGTAGGGAATCAGTGAGGCCTGAGGGACATTGAAGATATCTCCACATTCAGTACCTTATAAACAATACAAAGGCGCCTGGGGAGGAGGAGGGAGAAGAAGAGTGAGAAAGGAGATGGGTTATGATCACAGTGGGGAAGTCGGTGGTTAGGCAGTTGCAAAGTCGCCATCAGAAGCGAGTTTTGGCCTCCTTTGAGTACAGGCATAGCTCGGAGATATTGCAGGTTCCATACGACCATAATAAAGCAACTATTGTAATAAAGTGAGTCACACGAACATTTTGGTTCCCCAGTGTATATAAAAGTTACATTTACACTATACTGTAGTCTGTTAGGGAGCTCTGCTGGTGTAGTGATTAAGGTATTTGGTTATTAACCAGAAGGTTGGTGGTTTGAATCCACCAGCTGCTTTGTGGGAGGAAGATGAGGCAGTCTGCTTCCGTAAAGATTTACACCCTTGGAAACCCTGTTCCGGTTGCTATGAGATGGCAGTGAGATTTTATTTACTTAGATTTTGTAGTCTATCAAGTGTGCAGTAGCATTATGACAAAGTTTGAAATGTGAGAATCACCAAGGTGTGCCACAAGGTGTGGCAGAAACAAAGTGAGCACATCTTGTTGGGAAAATAGCACTCACAGGCTTGCTCAATGTGGGGATGCCTCAGACGTTCACTTTGTAAAAAACACGGTATCAGCAAAGTGCACTAAAAAGAGGTGTGTCTAGTTCAAGTGTGCTAGAGAATGTAGCCCAGAGAGTCTGATCTAATCCGGACTGACAGCCTGCTGGTCTGTGTGCTCGGGGACATGGAAGGGTCAGACAGCAGTGACTTGAAAAACAAATATGGACCCCTTCTGTGGGAAGAGTCTTTGATTGGAAGCTTCATTCTATTCCCTTCATATGATTTGTTTTTAATCACTTGCTCTTTGGTTAAAGGAAACACTTTAAATTTTTTTTTTTTATTGTGATTTGTGTGAAAGTTCACAGAGTAAATTTGTTTTCCTTTCAACAGTTCATACACATTTCGTTTCCTGACATTGATTGCATTCCCCACAATGAAACAGCTCTCTTCCCACTTCCCCCCTGTGGTTACCTTTTTCCAATGTCCTTCTTTCCTATGCATTCCTGCCCTGAGCTTTCTCGCTGCACAAATGCTGCCCTTCTGATCGCCCATGGTTGATTGCTAAGGAGTTCATCTCCTGGTGTAGGTGTTCAACTCACAGGCCTGTCCATTGTTTGACTGAACGTTAAGCCATATAAGTGAGCTCAGTTCCAGGCCTGAAGGGTCGCTAGCGGCTGTAGTCTCGAGGGGTTTCACCAGTCTCTATTAGATCAATAAGCCTGGTCTGTGTTTTTTTTTTTTTTTTCATGATTTTGAGTTTTGTTCCACACTTTTTTCTCCCACTTTATCCAGGATCTCCTACTTTGTTCCCTTCCCAAGCAGTTGGCAGTGGTAGCCAGGCACTATCTTGTTATTTTGATTTCAGGATCGTGGAGTCTGAGGTTCCTATCGTACACTAGTCCCTTGGACTAATTGTTTCCATATGTCTTTGATTTTCTTCATTCTTTGATCCATACAAGGAGAGACCAATTGTTGCATCTTCCATGACCATTCACAAACTCACCAACGTAGAATGTCAAACAATGTTTTGTGTACTGTGTTAGGCCAGTTGAACTAGATGTCCCCACGACCATGGTCTAAGCCCATGAGCCCAGTGACTCACTCCCTTAAGGTGTTTGGTTGTGGCTAAAAAGTTGTAACAACTTTGCCCTGTTAGCTCTGTTATACATGTGGACGTTTTTATAGCACATACAGATATGTGTGGAGAAATACCATCTGCCAGACCTGTGTATGGTGGGGGAGCTCCCTTCCACCCGCCCGTAACAGATCACTGCCTGTTCTACCTGTGTTAGGTCCATAGGCATCCATAGATTAATGTTTATTATTACTCATAACCCAGTATTGTGTATGTAAAGTATTTACCTTTCTTGGCTGTACCTCTTGGGCGTCTCTCCCATGCCTTCCTTTTCCTTAGTGTCACTGTGCTGGTCACCCGCTTTTGGTATATTGCCTTTCCCTTCACTCAAATCAGTACGTGTCTCTTACCTATCTAGCAATTTCCTTCCTTTCTCTTCTCCTCTCCTTCCATCCCTGTAAACCAACAGTTTCCTTCCGTGTACCAAACTTTCCTTTACATTTTATAATAGTGGACTTGTACAATATTTGTCCTTCTGTGGTTGACTTATTTCACTCAGCATAATGTCCTCCAAGTTCATCTGTGTTATGAGGTTTTTTGCCAATTTTTCATTATTCTTTAGGGTTGCATAGTATTCCATTGTGTGTATATACCATAGTTTGGTTATCCATTCATCCGCTGATGGGCATTTAAATTGTTTCTGTCTCTACTATTGTGAATAATGCTGTGATGAGCGTGAGTGTGCATATATCTATTCATGCCCTGGCTCTTTAGGACATACACCTAGTAATGGGATTGCTGAATCAAATGGTGTTTCTATTTTCAACTTTTTAAGGAAGAGCCATGCCATTTTCTGCAGTAGGTGTACCATTTTTGAGTCCCACCAGAGTTCCAATCTCTCCACATCTCTGCCAGCATTTGTTGTTTTCTCTCTTGTTGAACGTTACTGTATTATTGGTGGGGTGAGCTGGTATCTCATTACTTTGACTTGCATCTCTCTAATGGCTTATGATCACGAGCATTTCTTCCTGTGTTTGTTAGCTGCCTGAATAGCTTCTTTGGTGAAGTGTCTACTCATGCCCTCAGCTCATTTTTTAATTGGATTCTTTTTCTTTTTGACGTTGAGGTGTTGAAATTTTCTATGAATTTCACAGATTAGTCTCTTGTTAGCTTTGTCATTGCTGAATATTTTTCCCCGATCCATAGATTCTCTTTTTTTCTCTTTTGGAGAAGTCATTTAATGTGCGTAAGAGTAATTTTTAGAAGGTCCCAGTCATATAGTTTACCTTCTGCTATTTCTGCATTTTTGGTTATGTTTGATAGTCTATTAATGCCATATTTTAGAGCCCCTAAGTTTGCCCCTATTTTTCCTTCATAGTTTTAGGTTTATGAGCTTTATAGTTTTAGGTTTTACATTTAAGTCTTCGATCCACTGTGAGGTGGTTTTTGTGAATGGTGTGAGGTATGGATCTTGTTAATTTTTCAGCATTTTGATTCAAGAAACTCTTTGAGGTCTTGCCCCCTAAAGATTCCTTTGAAAAGCTTTGGTCTGCTGATTTTAGAAGCTGACTTTTTTTTTTTTTTTTGACTTTAACAGAAATAAATTTGTTCTCTCAAAGTTTAGGATGCTAGAAGTCCGATTTCAGTGAGCCAGCTCTCAGAGAAGGCTTTCTCTCTGCCAGCTCTGGGGGAAGGGCCTTGTCTCCTATCAACATCTATGGGCCTGGCATTCCTTGGAGAATTCCGCAAGTGTCTAAGAGGTTCTCAGGGCAGGGATCCCAGGTCCAGTGGACGTACTCTGCTCCCAGCTCCTCTTTCTTGGCAGTACTGGGATCTCTCTCTCTCTCTGCTCACTTCTCTTTCTTTTTATCTCTTGTAAAGTAAAAGGTGATGCAGGCTACATCCGATGGAAACTCCCCTTACTTTGGATCAGAACTATAACCTGAGTAAGGGTGTTACATCCCATCCTAATTCCCTTACAATTGATTAGTTGATCACATCAAAACATATCATGGGGGATGATTACATCATTACATAAAACTCACTGCTGTAGAGTCAATTCCGACTTATAGTGGCCCCTCCTTGGGTTTCAGAGGCGATATCTCTATGGAAGTGGATTGCCCACTCTTCCTTCCGAGGAGTGGCTGGTGGGTTTGAACCACCAGCCTTCTGGTTAGCAGTCACATCTCTTAGGCACTAATTGCCAGATTACATCATTACATAACTGCCAACCCATTGAGAATCATGGCCAAACTAAACTGACACACATTTTGGAGGGGACACACTCAGTCCATACATGACAACTGTATAAGTAACATTTTAAAAATATTTAGAAGCTGACTCTTAAATGTAAAGTTGGGCTGCTTGTTCAGGGTAAGAACAAATTCAGAGATTCAAATGATAGTTCCAGTGAGAAATGGGTTCCTTCTTTACTCCCTACTAGGACTCACATCCAGCTAGCGCCTGTGCTACACTCGAGCGTTTGCTCCCCGCTCCCTTTCTGTGGAGCCTACCCATGGGCACTTTGCTGTTTTCCAGGCTTCTGCTTCAGCTCACCCAATCTCAGCAAACATCATTTGCTTTGGAGAGAAACTTAAGGACTCAGCAGGAAATTGAAGATAAAATGAAAGGGTTCCGCTTCAAAGAAGAAACTTTGCTGTTGATTGCTGAGGTGAGTGTATCCCCTAGGGTTTAGGTGAAACGAAGCATTGTAGATATTTTTCCTGGTTCAGATATTTTAAAAAAAAAAAAAAAAAAGGCCAAATCTCCTCTCCTGGAAGACTTGTGTTTCCCTTCTTTGTGTATCTGTAGATCACTAACAGTTACCAAGGTGGCCTCTTCTTCATCAGTCCCTGGGGGGTGTGGAGGGCAGGGGCTGTGTCATCTGCTTGTTGGTACTCGTTACCTTCTGCCTGCTGCGATATCACAGGTGCCCAGCGCCTCTTGTGTCTCTGTGCTTAATGAGTGAGTGAGTGCCCACGTTTGTGCAGCAGTTTTACGTAGCTGAGTGCTTTCTCCATTCATCCTCATAGCAGCCTGGGAGGTAGGCGGAGCAGGGATGGAGGGATGGAGAAGGGACGCCCTGCCTGAGGTCAGGCTTGAAGTGGCGGAGCTGGTCCGGACCCCATGCTTCCAGCTCCACCTTCATTTTCTTTATGCTCTGCCTGCTGCTGCTTTGGTAGTTGCTGAGAAATGTCCTTTTTTTATTAACTTGTTTAATGAGTTGGGTTTTGGTAAAACAAGCTGTCAGAGTGTCTAGATGGCATTAGAGATGATTTCTGTGTTTAAGCTGTCCGTGCTTATTCCTCACAGCACGTCACTGAGGCTCGACAGCTCCAGAACTTTCCCACCAGAGCAACTCTCCGTGTTCTTCCAGATTTCATCCTTTCAGGATGCTTCCCTTGCTGGCTTCTTCCTCCTCCCTCAGTGACGCGCTCGTGCGCACAGCCCTCTGCTGCTGCCGGGTCGTGCTCTCCTGCTGCCTCTGTGAGCCTTTGCCAGCCCTTCCCTGTCCCTGGCTCTTTGCTTTGAGCTTACAGACATGCACAGGTACCCCGCTGCCCGTGAGGTCCCTCCTTAGTCTTTATCTTCTTCACCTTTCTATAGCACTTGTAAGTACCCTTTTTTTCCTTATCTTGACTTCTAAGAGGCCTGTTTCTCTCCCATATTTCTTACTATTCCTCTGCCTCTTGGTATTTCACTGGTTTCTTCTGTGTCCTAAGGTTAGCTAGGTTCTCTCTTCTCTTCACTTTTGGCCACAGAAATCTTAACCAGGCTTCCACTTCCACTTGTCACTTGTGCCCTGATGGCACTCTGATCTATGTCTCTAGCTCCATTTGGGGAGCACTGGTCTCTCAGCTCAGGTTGACTACCTACTGGGTGGTTCCCATTTGATTATTCTACCGTCACTTCAAGTGCAGAATGTCTGAAATGGGAATACTCGTCCATCTTCCTGTTTCGCTCCATGCCTGGCTTGGTATAGCACCTTTTACAGACTTGGCCGTGAGTGTTTGTTGAGAGGAAGCAGGAGGAGTTGGAGAGAAGCACCATTGATACGGCTGTCGTTCTTCTCTCATCCAGGCCTCAAACGTCACTAGCTTTGAGCCTCCTGATCTCTAGTCTCCTGTCTTATGCCAGCAGCAGGCTCACCTGTCCTTCAGGGCCCCCTTTCATTTCTCTCCCGCCCCTAGCACCCTCGTCCAGGCTCTGTCACCTCAAATTTGATTGCCACTGTGACCTGCTGGCTTGCCTTTCTCACTTCCTTGCTTTCTCCCCTCAGATCTGTGTGAACATTGCTGCTGGGTTAATCATCTACAACATTCCTCTGACTACGTTACTGGCTGGCTTAAAGAGTAAAGTGTGTCACTTCTGAGGCCAGGTCTAGGCTGGGCTCTCTGATGTGATGCCCCTGGCCTTCCAGATGCTAACCCCAAACTTACTACCTAGCAATTCCAGGCACAAACCTTATGCTTCCACCAGACTGACCTACCCCATATCTGACAAGCCAGTCATAGATATTCCTACCTCCACTCTTTACTCTTCCCATCCTCAAAGACCCAGCTGGACTCCCACAGCCTCCAGGAAGCATTCCCTGAAATTCCTGGTCTGTGGTAACGTCTCCTTCCACCAGATTCGGACAGAACTAATTGCTTGCGTAGATAAGTCTTCAGGCAATAAAAATACACAAGAATATGTCTTACCTTCTTAACTAGATTTTGGGCTCTTTCTAAGCGAGATCTGTCTGAAACGTCTGTGTCCTTCACTGTGCTTGGTGAACTTGCTGATTGATGGAACTTGGTAGTTCTCCACCTGGACATCTCCTGTGAAACACACGTGGTGGCTTAGACAAAGACAACATCTGGACCCTCCTTGGGATTGTACTGTACGTTTTATTTTGTACTGTTACTTTACCTAACATTGTGACGTGAGCCAGCCTAAACCCTTACATAAATAGTCTTTTAGTTCATAATTTTTAATAGCTGGATAGTTGTCCAGTTTTTGATTCAGTTCTAATTTATTTCTTTAGTCCCTTATGTTGAACATTGAACAGATACTCAGTACCTGTTTATTAAGTCCTTGCAAATAAATCACACTACATTTGTCCCTTCTATTACTAGAAATAGAATCACTGGGTCAAAGTAAATGAACATTTTAAAGATTTGAAGCACAATTCAAATTGCCATTGAAAAAGGTTAGTTGGGTCTCACCCCCTCCAGCAGTGGATGAGGTTGGTTTCCCTCCCCAGTCCCAGATAATAAGTGAACCTTGTGAAATTGTCAATATTCAGTCATTTTTACTTAAAAAAAACCTCTTTTACAGAGTTCAACTCAATGTCATTACTTCTTAAAGTCTGTACTTTTGCAGTTAAAATTATCACATTATTTGTATTAATGTTCATTGTTTGATTACTGTTAAAATGGACTTTTTCATGTTTATTGACCATTGTATTTTGTGAATTACCTGTCACGCTTTTTCTCCATGATTAGTAAGTTTCTGTGTTTCTTACTAATTTTAAGAGCTCTGTAGATCAGACTCTAATATAGAAAAAATTAAACCCCACCACTCGCTGCCATCAAGCTGATTTCCACTCATAGTGACCCCTGTTGGGTTTCCGAGGCTGTGAACCTTTACAGAAGTAGATTGCATCGTCTTCCTTCCATAGAGTGGCTGGTGGGTTTGAACTGTCAACCTTCTGGTTAGTAGTCAGATGCCTTAGACACTACACCACAGGTTAGACCTACTAATCTTTTATTTTTTTGCGGTGTTTTCTGAAGGTTGTGATATTCTGTGGCGTACAGGAATTTTAGGTTTCTTGCAGCCTGGTATTTCAGTGCGTCTTCTGAGTGTGAATGGCCTGCTTCCCTGGCTGCCCTCATGGAGTGTTACCTGGTTTGGTTATTATCATTACTCCATATTCTCTCTATTTAGAAACAGATGATTATGGTAATAAATACATATATAATGAGGAGTTAGTCATTTCCATTTTTAAGTGACATTAGTTCCATTCCCTATTGTTTTAAAACAGGTAATTTTTGTTGTTTTATTCCAGGTTTTAAATACTACATCACTGAATCAAAAAATTGATGACTTGTAAGATACACCTTTAGTTTCAGTGTCACTAGCAGAACAAAATCTCCCAGTTACCCTGTGGCCTGCCCGCATGGTGAGATACAGCTTGGGTTCAGAGATGATAGAATACAGAGTGTCTGACATTAATGACACACTGTGCTTTAACAAATGCCTGCTGCTGCCTGGCCCAGCTGTGCACAGTCACCCTTGCCGCAGACGGTATGTAGACTTGAAGACTTAAGAAGCCAGTGGAAACTACTCTTGGAGTGTGCTTCTGCCACATTGTCATTTGAGTTTTCAGACGCACGTTGACTCTCAGGGTTTGCAGGAACCTTAGAGATCGGTTAGTCCAGAGTCACGTGACTTGATTTCTCTGCACAGCATCTCTGCCAGATGGCTGCGTAACCAGCCATGCCACTTGGCATGGAGTGTTTGGGGACTTAGTTTTCCTGCACTGTCCTTCCAAAGGCGGGGCTTACTGAAGGTGGCTGACCACTTTGGGGGGTGGACGGGTGCCAGCTTTCTACAGTTTGACTTTATGGCTATTTTTGCAAAGCTCAAGACTCCAGTTTAGGATTGTGAAGACATGACCCTGAGTTCTCTGGGCCTCACTCTGACCAGCAGGGAGCAGTGTTGGGCCTTCCTTGGGTCAGCACTGCTCCAGGCCCAGAGATTGATTGGGTCACATCTACAGAGGGATGTGGTCTCTATGGATCCAGCTACTTGCCACTCGATTGTTCTTGTTGCCTTTGGTGTCTTTGGAGAACTTCCAGGAGATTGAGTCTGCCCCACACGGCAGCAGCTTTGTTGTCCCCAAGCTCTGCCCGTCCCTTTCAGCCAGTTCTACAGAGAGGGAGAACCACTCGCAGCTGTATGCTTGCCCACGGAATGTGCTCTTTGATGTAGGAAGTTTGACTGGGTATCCAGGTGGGCTGACTAGGACTGCAGGGTGACGATTTCACGGAGAGGATGAATAGACGTGTGGATAGTTACATAACATGGTCCATGCACCTCTGCTCATGGACAGACATCTATCTCTTCACTGTGTCAGAAATGTCCCCTGGCTGCCAGTGTTTTCTGCTTCTGTGGGAAAGCCTTTCATTCCATGTCTGCTGCTACTTTTAGTGGAATGTTTTTTGTTTTTATTTCCCTCCTGCTGCAGGTTATGGGAGAAGATCTCGTTCCAGAAAAAATAAAAGAGGAAGTTCACACAGGAGTGAAGTGTGTGGGCTCTGCTGCCTTGACCACTTTGGTGATTGCATCTTCAAAAGAATTCGAAGGCCGATGGTTCAAAAAGATCAAAGACCGCTGCTGTCCCATGGAGAACCAGTTCCATACAGAGATGCAAATCTTGGCTCAATGGTCCATTTAAAAACAAAGCAGAAAACACTTTATACCATATTAGTTGTCCTTATTCACTTCAGACAGGAGCCGCCGCTGGCAGCGGAATATAGTGAATTAAAAATGTTTATGTTTTATGAAAATGATTTCTCTCCTACTGCACTCAGTTTTTGGATTTTTTGTTTCCTTTTTACAGTTTTCCTATTTAAGTACTTTACTTTTTGATACCTTTAGAAGATCTCCATTGTATATAAAGTATATAAAAGAGGCTTTTAGATTTTGTGGTCTTTTTAAAATAGTTCTATACTGTAGGAGCTCTGGTAGCATAGTGGCTAAAGCACTTGACTGCTAACCAGAAGGCTGGCGGTTCAAACCCACCAGCCACTCCTCGGAAGGAAGGTTGGGCAATCCTACTTCCGTAGTGATACTGCCTCGGAAACCCAAGGAGGGGTCGCTATGAGTCGGGGCCGACTCGATGGCAAACAACAGCAACAACAACATAGCAAAACTACCCTTTGCCAGTCAAGTGGACTCCGACTCACACCCCCCGCCTCCCAGAGGACAGAGGAGAACTGCCCCATAGGGTTTCCACGGCTGTCAGCTTTACAGACCCAAACCAGATCTTTATAGAAGGAGACCCCAAACCAAACCCACTGCCATTGGGTTGATTCTGACTCACAGCACCCGTAAGAGGACAGGGTGGAACTGCCCCATAGGGTTTCCAAGGCTGTCAGTCTTTATGGAAGCAGGCTCCCTCATCCTTCTCCCACAGAGTGGCTGGTGGGTTCAAATCACCAACCTTCTGGTTAGAAGCCAAATGCTTAACCACTGTCCCACCAGGGCGCCTGTACTACAACCACCAGGGCAAGACTTTGTATTGCTTAGGTAAACAAATTAGGAATGACCAAGAATGCTCAGATATAAACCATTTCTGAAAAGGGATTTTCCTGTACACTGACAAGCCAGCCCGACAGCGTCGTGGCTCTGGCAGGAGACATCAGACATCAGAGTCAAGGACATAGGACTTGCTTACTCATGGCCCAGCAAGCAGTGTGAGCCCCGGCACGTTCAGGTCAGTGCCTTTGCCCCCAAGTCCCAGGGAGCACGTGGACGGGTCTGGAGGAGTGGCTGCCCGTGCAGCAGACTGCGTTACTGAAGAAGAGTCCTGAGCTTGGGAAACCCAAATCTTAAAGCGGCCAGTAAGCAGAGGACATGCTACCAGGCAGACACCTTTGAAGAGGCAGCATAGAACAGCCTGGCTCATAAGATGGGCGGAAATGGGGGAGACCCATAGAACGTTGTCTAACTGTGTGATCATCCCTGTCCTTCCAGCCTCACAAATCGTCGTCACAGTCTGTTACATTGCCGCTTAGGAAGGGCCGTTCCTTAACTCAGTGAGTTTTCTGGAATGAAAGAGCTCCTCTACGAGAACTTAAATTTTAAAATGAACTGAAAAGCTGCATCAAATGTCCTGCACCACTTTTCCTTGATCTTTCTCAGCAGAGGGAGGAAAATTCCAGGCCTGGGCAAAAAGGGACGTCATCAGGATGGTCCTTCCCGTCTTCCTGCTCCCTTCCCAAACAGGCAGGGTCTGAATTCGTTTATACTTTGGTAACTCTCAGTATGACTGCATTGATAGCATGACTGTCATTGCAAGTTGACTTTTACCTTTAGTGTGAAATAGAAGACTTGACGGAGAAAATGCAAGACACACAGGAGTGCGTTAACTATGAGGGGCACAGGGGAGAGGTGGTTACTGGGCAGGAAGGGGAGGAGAGTGGGTCAGGGTTGAGGATGGTAATTGGGGAGCAAAACCAAATGTACAAGAAATGTTGAATGTAAAACTGCGCTGTAAACTTGCATCTAAAGCACAATTAAAAAAAAAAAAAAAGACTTGCATGGTTAATAAACTTGGATATTAGGAACCACGGAACATGAGAACCCCTCCACATCTCCCCATTGCTCTGCCCGTCCGTTTATCCAGTCATTTAACAATCATTGGGCTCCTGTTGTGTGCCAAGCATTATTCATTTGCTGTAGAGACACCACTTATCATGGCGTTTATGGGCTAGCTGTGGATTGTGGATTGCTCAGAGTCGAGTCTAAACTCAACCTGGCTTGCCAAGCCCTTCATGATACCTTTTGACTTCTAGAGTCCCATCTCCCCCCACGTCCACCTTTAACGGTACTGTAATGTTCACCGTTAGGTGTTCACGCATGCAACTCTCAGTCTGCAGACCCTACCCCCCATTATATGGCTAATTCACGTTCATCTTTCAGGTCTCCACATAGATTTCGCTCCCCCGAAGTCTTCCTGACCCCCAAGTGGTGGTAGGTCCCCCATTTTGTGCTCCTTGAGTCCCCTTTTGCTCCCTTACTACTCTGTATGGTAGTTGCCTGTCCTCCATGTAGATTTGAAACTAAAATCAGGGACTGTAACTGTTTTGTTCATATCTGTATCCCCAGGGCAGAATACTTGCATTGCAGTAAATATTTGTGGAACAGAATTGCTGAATGAAATTGGCCAGCGTCTTGTTTGCAGGAAAGGTTAGGACCCCCAGAGCTGATGTGCTGAGGCAGTCCAAGGACCACCTGCTTCTCTCCCCGCTCACCTAGACCCCCTGGAAATGTCCGCTGTTCTAGTTTTCTCTACTTGGAACTGCCTCCTGTGCAATCCCCCAGCTGTTGAGGAATTGAACCTTCTTCTAGATTCCAGCTCTGAGCTCCCATTGGATGAGATGTGCCTGCTCCCCAGCCATGCTCAGGTTCAACTTTAATGTCATAGCACCCTGCGTGTGTGTCTTCTTTAAGTGAGTTACTGAATTACAATCCAGTCATCCATTGTGTAAGTCCTCCCTGCTAGTTCATAATCCCCATGACTGCCTCCTTGGTTTGTCCTTTCACAGCAGAGCTGAGCCTCATGGACTCGCTACGACTTCTCCTCACTCGTTGACCCCTTCCTGAGGCCTCAGGCCCTTGCA